TGAGTCGTGCTTTTTGCTATCTAGCCGGTGGAAGTGATAGCTTTCGACTTTCAATATCACCAGCGCATAAAAGAAGGAGCATAGAAATGTTATAAAACGACAACTTTGATCTGAGTTTAAACTTGCGTGACCGCAGTTCTTGTCGTGATTGTGGATCAGGTTTCTCGCGAGCCAGCAGCAGCATGTGAGTAGATCCAACAGGGCTGTGACCCCTCCTACGTTAGGCATGCAATTGTTTGCCTCTTTCTTCTCGACCGTGTTTCTGGTTTTAGCTTTCAACCGTGTGCAGAACGGTCACAGCCCTGTTGGATCTACTCACATGCTGCTGGCTCGCGAGAAACCTGATCCACAATCACGACAAGAACTGCGGTCACGCAAGTTTAAACTCAGATCAAAGTTGTCGTTTTATAACATTTCTATGCTCCTTCTTTTATGCGCTGGTGATATTGAAAGTAATCCTGGCCCGGATTAACGCTGCGGAGATCTTAGTCGGGTCGTCTGTGGCCATCTCGGACCTAACCTCCGGTATCTATGATGCTTCTATCCTCAAAGTTGACAACGATCGCTTCTTTGCTCACTTTCGTGGTTGGAATAAAAGCTATGACTCCTGGGTCAACCTTGATCAAATTTTCCGGCTCCCTGATGGTTATGTTCCGATAGGCCGGAATTCTCGCGGTCCTATTTGCCTTCTCGCGCCTCCTGTCTCCAGCCCTATCTCTGTCGCTTTAACGAGTTCTCCTTCTCGGGATGCTCCTGTTAGCTCTGGCCTCTCTCAAGGGATGTCAAGTATGACGATCTCGGCTGAGCTCGCCGTAAGCGCTGTGCCGGATCTTTCTGACGTCATGTCTTCCAGAGTTGACACTGTCCGGTTCGTTCCAATTTCTCTTCGTAACGAGTGGTCTGAGGTTGTTGGTCACGCCCTTGACAACTGCGCCACCGCTCCGGACAATCTGAAAAACTGGACTCGGTTGCTCATGCTCCCCAAATGTATCTTGAAAGCCCCTCGCCGCGGAGGCAAGTCTCACGCCGCTAATAACTGCAGAGACATTCGCCAAAGAATCAAGTCCTGGAAGGAGGGCAATATCTCGGACCTCTGGTCTAACGCTACCAAAAGACCTAAAGAGCGAACGAACAAAAACAGCAAACCTTCTCTTGACTTTAATGTCCGCAGAGCCAAAGAGCTAGCAGGCCTCGGTCAGTTCGGCAGAGCAGCTAAAGCCCTGTGTTCCGATGGCCTCGTGTCCAAAAGTGACGAGTCGCTAAAGGACCTTCGCAGTCTTCATCCTTCCGCTGACCCTCTTGTCTTTTCTGGCCGGGATGAATCCCCTCTTGCCTACCAATTCGAATCTGAGTTCGTTCATAAGTCTCTCAAAAGTTTCCCGAGCGGCACTGCTGCCGGTCCTTCGCGCTGGTTTCCTGAGCACTTTGTTCACGCCGTTGAGTGCCCCACTCCTCAGACTGCTGCCAGAACGTTAGAGTCTCTCAACAGGGTTGTTAATATCCTCGCTGCCGGGCAAGCCCCTTCTAGTCTCTCTCCGTGGCTGTGCAGTGCGAATCTCTTTGCCACCGCTAAACCCAAGGGTGGTGTCAGGCCTATTGCGGTCGGCGAAGTGCTCCGAAGGCTCACTGCTAAATGCCTTGCTAAAGCCGCCAACGCTGAAGCTCGTGATTTTCTGTGTCCTCACCAGCTTGGAGTCGCTACCAGTGGTGGCTCGGAAGCCATCGTCCACGCTACTAAAATGACAGTCAAAAAGTGCTCGGAACATGGTCACCAGGGCGTCTTAACAGTGGATTTTGAGAACGCTTTCAACACGCTAGACCGCACCGAGATCCTCCTTCAAGTTCGCAACCGTCTTCCCGGTCTCTCCGCCTTTGTTGAGTTTACCTACGGTCACCACAGTCATCTGCTGTTCGAGGATGTCATTCTCAACAGCGAGAAAGGAGTTCAACAGGGGGATCCGCTAGGGCCTCTCATTTTTGCGGTCACCCTGCACTCTCTTGTCGAATCTCTCAAGTCGAAAGTCCCCGGTCTCACCCTCAACTGCTGGTACCTTAATGATGGTATTTGTGCCGGCGACGAAGACTCCTTGCTCAAGGCTCTCGAACTCATCACTTCCACCGGCTTGCATCTCGGCCTCAATGTCAAGCACAGTAAGTGTGAGCTGTGGGCCCCTGTGGAATTCTCCTCCATCCCCGTTTCTATCCCGAGAGCAGCGTCTAATGGCTTCGAGCTTCTTGGCGCCCCCATTGGTGATACTGAGTTCTCAGTTAAAGTCCTGGACAAATGCATCTCGAAGGCCACCAAATGTCTTGAAAAGTTACCTCTTCTTGATGACCCCCAGCTCTCACTTGGCATCACTCGCACTTGCCTTGCTGCTCCCAAGCTGACGTACTCTCTTCGCACTCAGCCGCCCTCTCAGCCTGTCGCAGCTTCCCTGCAAGTTTTTGATGAACTCCTCCGCGATGCTCTTTCTGTCATAGTTGGCTCACCTGTTCCTGATCTTGCCTGGTCCCAGTCTTCCCTGCCTATCAAAGATGGCGGACTTGGCATCCGGCAAGCTCGCGACCAACACATCCCTGCCTTCCTAGGGTCTTCGTGTCAGTCAGCTCATTTGGTCTCGTTTCTTACCGAATGCGACATCACTGATACGCCGGAGTTCCTGCGTGCCTCGAACGACTTCCGTGAACAGTCTGGAAGCGTTAACACTCCCGGTTTTACTCAAGAAGCTTTCCAAGAGAAACTCGATAAGGCCACCTACAACGCTTTCTTCTCGTCTCTTCCCGATTCCCGCGAGCAAGCTCGTCTTCAGTCGCTCTCTCTGCCTTACGCCGGCGCTTGGCTTACCGCAGTCCCCATTAAAGGTCTTGGCCTGCACCTGCTACCTGCTGAGTTCCAAGCTGCTGTCAGATACCGCCTTGGTCTTCCTGTGTTCGCGTCTGCTCGTAGGTGCCCCGCGTGTCCGTCTGGCATTCTGGACGTCCTCGGGGACCACGCTGTCGCTTGTGGGGGGAGTGGTGGCCGGATCTCCCGTCACGACAGGCTACGGGACATTATTTTCAATGCTACCTCGGCAGCCTCTTTAGCCCCCATCAAGGAGCAACGGAACCTCATCCCTGGAGAACGGTCCAAACCCGGCGATATTTTTATCCCTACTTGGAGCGCTGGTCGCCCAGCTGCTCTCGACGTCACCGTGACATCCCCGCTGCAGTTATCTCTTCTCTCTCGTGCGGCGGAGACCCCCGGGGCGTCCCTGGAAGTTGCTGAGGACCGCAAATTTTCGAAACACGAGAAAAACTGTGAGGAACAAGGAATCAGTTTTTTTCCCGTTAGCAGTCGAAACGCTCGGGGGTTGGTCCGCTTTAGCTATCAAAACCCTCAAGTCAGTTGCTATCCTCGCTGATGCCAGACGTTCTGGTTCACGTGACGCTCGTGTTGCCCCAGTTCGCCTTCTCCAGAGCCTCTCAGTGTGCCTCATGAGAGGAAACGCCACTATGATTGTCAGCCGGGCCATCTAGTCTTGTGCAGTTTATTACGTTTTTTTTTTTTTTTTTTTGCCTTCCCAATTCTGGTGCTCCTTTGTTCCTTTTAAGTTCTGTATTTAAGTTTAGTTGGCTTCTACTTTTTATATTATCGCGTCAGTATCCAACGGTGCTACTTTTTCTTTTGAGAGTTTCTGTAAATTTCAATTTCTGTTATTAATTTGAATATCATTTTTATATTAGTTTTTTAATTAATTTTTTGTATTTGCCTATGAATTAGAGTCACCAAGATTCACCCTTGATCAACTCATCACCTGAAACAGTTATTGTTCCCAAGAACTTGACCTGACTCTAAAATCAAGCTTGATGTACTAACGTTTTTCTGGAATGCTTGAGGCATTCTGGAAGGTTCTTTTTTATCAAATCCAAGACTCTAAGCGGTTTTGCAACTTTGCTTCGAAGTGTCGCGTCCTATTCAAATTCTTTGGAACAAGTACGGTTTCAGTCGAACCTTTGAGACTTTTTATTCATAGGCAAGTACAAAAATTGCCACTTCTTTTTTGTTCAACAAACAGAAATTTTGTTACTCAGAAAAGTACTTGGTAAAACAAACTCGTCAGATATGGGCGAGTTGAGTTTAAGCGCTAGAAAAGTTTAAATGTGATGATATTTTCTTTGTACGCGCGCACAGATTCACACATGTAGACACTTTGACGTATTTAAGCGCAGTATCAGGAATTTACTCTGAAAAGTGCCTGTTTTCAATGTACACTTTGGACAACATTTCCTTCGATATTCATTTAAATTTTTACATTGACCGAGAGCAAATGATCCGAGCTACCATGTATGAAAGTATCAATATTTGGTTTGAATGACTTACTAATTTAATCCGGATCTGAAAATGCCAGTTTCCTCATCTGCATTTAGTTGTTTATTCTTCGCGTGAAAAAGTAAGAAACATTTGAAATCAGTAGTTTTCAAACTGATTGTTTCCATTTTCTCTCTGAAAATGTTTCGCGTCGCATGAAGAATTTTTCTACTCCGCTTAATCAAGAAAGACTTCACTACGATGCAAAACTTAGTGCAGATGAGGAAAACTGACATTTTCAGACCCAGATTAGTTGGTAAGTCATTGAAACCAAATATTGATACTTTCAAAGATGGTAGCTCTGATCATGTGCCCTTGGTCAATGTAAAATTTTACTGAATTTCGAAGTAAAGGTCTAAAATGTACATTGAACTCTCGAAGAGGCAGAGTCGGCCCTCCCTAATATTCGTCTCTATTTAATGAAAATATGTTCTCAAACGTATAGCTTGAAATATTTTTTAAATCGGAATTGACAGATGTTCAATTGCTAAAATTGCGAGCGACCAAATTTGCCTAGTGGTGTTTTATGTCGCATTCACTGATCAGCATTAGGACCTCTAGTCATACTGATTTTTTTTAAAAAAAGCTAGTCTTTTGTAAATATTTGAAGTTTTTTTTTATAAGATTTTATTAAAATAGATTTATCATGACCTCGATGTTTTTAAACTGAGTATGTGATACCTTTAAATTTTCAAATAATGTAATTTCCATTGATCAAATGGAAGTCCTCTGTGATGAGACTGGTTCTTGTGATAGAAATCAGTGCGATCTGCAAACTCGGCCTCTGCCACACTGTTGAATGATGCTGTGTTTGTGTTCTGCAATTGAGGTGACCATAATCCCTCCGGAGGGCTCGCTGGATGAAGGACTTGATCCACTATTAGCTTCGACTGTTGCGATTGGCTCAGGTGAACACTAAGCTGGGCACTTCGAACGAACTGAAGCTCAAATAGAATGTCCTTTATTGTTTTTAGTAGTTCAGGCACTAAAATACAAACAGGAAAATTTCTAGAAAATATAATTATGCGACTTACTATGAAAGCAAGAAATAGTAAACCAATTGATTTGCTCTGCATATCCTGGCTTCTAATCCAGTGCTCTGCTGAAATTTCGCTGAACAAAGCAATTTTTGTTTTCTAATAGTTGGAAGCATTTTGATCAAGCTTAATGGGCGATGAACAGCTTGCCCTTTAAAAAAATTTCAAGATCATGATATGAATTCAAGACAAGGTTAACAGTATCTTACGCAAATTGACAATGCCTCCCATACTCCTCTGTTCTTGCTCAGTTAGGTGCAGATGATTGAGTCGCGACAACTCCACAACAGAGTCATACGGTGATGTCATTCGGGACAGTGACACGAACTTGTCCTGGAGTTCCTTCTTTTCATGGGCTGTGAGACCATCCAACAATTCATGCGCACATGTAGCAATTCGGGAATAAAGGTGAAGCCACTGCTGCACCAGAACTCTGCGAGTAACAAAAGCCGATAAATAAAGCCTTTCAGTTCCCATAAGTGTTCCTCATTGTTCCGACCATTGAAAATGGGGAGGAACTTTGTATTCGGGTGTGTATTAGTTTTTTTTCCTGGCATATAAGGTACGACAAATAATCATCGGAGTGGGTCGAGTGATATATCAAATAAAAGAATTTTTTGTCGTGACATTAAAAAAATCCCAGTTTCGAGAAAAATCGGTGTTTTGAATATTTTTTGTCTAATTTCAAGCAAATAAAGCGAGCGCCCAGGTTTGTAATATGCTTATAATAATTAGTTTGGTTATTTTGAAACTTTTAAAACTAACTTTTATTTAAAAGTGAAATTATTTATCGAGTATTTTTAAGAGTCTTGGGAATAAAAGTTTAAGAAATTTTTTGTTTTTAATAAATTTTGTCTTTATTTTGGAAAAATAATGTCAAATATCCTTACTTTTTATCATCAAAGATCTAGGCTTTCGTTCAGATTCTCTCACCCGTCAAATTCAAAAGACCACACCATTTGAAAAAAGCCCCTGTAGTTTGGCTGGAATATTCTGTGCTAATTGCACAGCAACTGGCTATCCTTGTTTCGTCTTTATTTGCTTTTTGGTCTTTCTTTTTTCATTCTCTCTTAGGCCTTGCCTTTTTGGGGAATTTCGATGTCATGCTTTTTGCGGTAGCCGGGTCACACTTGAGGAGGCTGATGACACTTCAACCCTTCCAACAATGATTGAACTGGGATTCAAACCCATGGTTTACGTGTTAAAGGCCGACATCACGGGCGCTGTCCCAATAACTTCAATTACCTTTATATACAGGAACAAAACTTCCTCGAAACAAAAAGATTCAATGTGAGAATTTTTTGAATCTTAGAATAGATATACGAGATTTTCAATTACGGCGATACAATTAAAATTAAGTTCAACAAATTACACGAAAAATACAACGCTGGTTTAATTTATTCGGACAAATCGAACAAAACTCATAAAGTTAGGTTTCCTCAAGTTGGGTTAATGTCTGGCTAAATTAGACGAAGACAAATTTTGCTAAATTTTTAACAACTAGAAAAAGAATGTTTTCGTTCGATTAGTTTGTTTAGAAGTTACGCAAAATTACCGAGTCAATTGTGGCAAGAAAGAAATCAAAGTTAGTCTACTCAGCCCAAAAGAGTTTAGGAACGACGGTTAAATAAATTTTTTATACAGTGGTTCATTTTTGGTTTGAAAATAAACTGTGTTTTCAGACGTTATACCCCTGATTAAAAAGTTTGTAGTTTTTTAAAAGAAAAATGGGCCCTGCGGTTTTCTTCATGTGAAAACAATTTTATCAGAATAGTATGAGTTGCATGCGCAATCGATCTTTAATTGCGCTTGTGATTACTAAGTGTTATCATATAATGAACGTTTTGTGATTAATTTGATTGTAAAAGAAAATTTAAAACTTGTTTTTGTTTGTCTTCTGAACTCAGTGAATATCGACTAAGGAATATTGACTATGGCTATGATGTGAATAAGTTTAAGCTTGCCTTTCTGAAGATCCGTCTGTCAGATATGAGTCTTGGAATCTTGCTACATCATCCACACATTTGAAGTATGTAGGTGATCCACCCATGTAGTGTTGTTGAAGTTGCAGACTCTTCAGAAAGTGGAAAATCTGGCGCGAAAATGTGTTCCATTCCAGTTCTAACTCTTTCGACTTTTCTCTCAATGAGTTTATGAAAGTTAAACTATCGGCCATTTTGGTTCGATTTTTTTCGACGTTTTGTGTGTCAAATAAAAGATAGCTTCAATGTTTAATTCAGTTTTCTTTGCATATCTCAGCAGAAAATGTTCGTTCGATTGGATTTTGCTGGCCAGAAAATTACAATGAACGCGATAGAGTAGATTTTAAAATCACTTGAGTACTCAAGTAGAATCAAGCTAAATCAAATTCAATTTATTTTCTCATCAAAACTAACCATAGACAGAAGTACATGTAGACAGTACATTATCACAAGATCTGTTATGAAGACCGGAATGATTTACACGTTAATTAAAGATTTCAAAAAGTTCTTAAAATCGCATTGTTTTTGGTTTCAAGCAGAAAGATTATCTGAAATCAAAGCCAGTTCTCAGAGTATTGCGAGCAATAATCAAAACTAAGCATAAATTTTATTGACGATTATGTGTGTTTGTTCCGACTTCCTCACCAAGGCAGAAAGGATTTTCGAAAGGTGCCCCTCCCTCCAATAATTGTATAAAAAATAATCTGGTTAAGTGTGCCATGGTGAAGTACCTTTTAAGTGCAATATCCGGGTTTCAAAAACTCAAACCTCAGGTTTCAAAAAAAAGTTTCCAAGAGAAAAAGCCGTCTGATTATATTCGTTATTCAGACTTTATCCTTGAGTGATTTGTCTGAGTGGATGAAATTGAGCGTTTCTTAATGAGTGATTTTTTAAAACATTTTTTGTAACTGACTAAATACATGTTGAATAATTGTGAACAAGGTTTTGGTGCCCAAAATTATTACTTCAAATATTGGGAAACGTTTTTACTTTCAAAATTATCAACAATGTGCGCTACTTGGTAATCAGATTCTGTTGCGGATTTTTTTAAAACGTCCGTAGTCAAAATAAAACGCGTAGTTAACAATTGCAATTTTGGTTCAACTTTTCAGACTCGATGCACTAAGTTCAATTTATAATCTAGTATCCATGTTTGGAGTGAACATGAATGATACTAGTTCCGGGTCCTTCATCAAAACCGAAGCTGGACTGGACAACACCGGAACCCTCCTGGACGAACCCACAAACGAAGGCCAACAGCTACTGGACACTTTCTGGCAGCGATGTATGGAAGATTGTGTCAATTTAAACCCAAACACTGAATTCAAAGTACAAGAACTGCCTTTGGCCAGAATCAAGAAAATCATGAAGCTGGACGAAGATGTTAAAATGATTTCAGCCGAAGCTCCGATTATTTTTGCCAAAGCGTGTGAGCTGTTTGTAGCTGAATTAACAACAAGGGCGTGGATACACACAGAAGAAAGTAAAAGAAGAACTCTTCAGAAAACTGATGTAGCTATGGCAGTGTCCAAGTATGACATGTTTGACTTTTTGATCGACATCGTGCCTAGAGATGAGATAAAAGCAACACAGAAAACGAAAGGAACTAATATAACAGGAGGAGACCAAGTGCAATATCTGGTGCAGCTGCCTGCCTCTGCCTTGAATGGATCTAGTGGTGGACAGCCGATCACTCTAAATTTCGGTAACTTTTATTTGCAAAGTTTTTTTCGTTGAAAATAGTCTGGAGACGAGCAATCCAAAGTTGAAGTGCTATTTGGTGCGGGTTGCTGTACTTATTTTTTTGGCAATGAGCATCAATATTCTCAGTTTAAGCGCTTTGTGGTGTTTCTGTATATGTTTCTTTGTGAGCCAGTGTAATTTAAATAGGGCACAAGACTTTTTCCCGTTAAAAACTTTCATAAAAATTTCATAAAAACGTTCAGCTTCTTTTTCCGTTAACAATTTTCCTACAAGTTTGTAAGAAACGTGCATGAGGTTCATATTGCATGGTTCATTTGATTACTTGGTTCATTTTAAACACTTTTGAATGAAATTTTTCTTTAAAAATGTTTGATTTTTCGGTTTTGTTGTTTCTATTCCAATTTTTGTCGGCTAATTTTCCTTTTTCTGTAGAAAATATAAATTCCAGCAGTATCATCTAGTAGAGTTAGGGCCTCACAAATAAGACTAAGCGGAGCTCAATGCATGCTAACTTAATTTTGGAAAAAAGTCATATTTTAATTTAGAATTAGTGTTTTCCGTTCAATTTGTATCGGCTTATTTTTCATTTAAATTGTCAGCTCTTTTATAGTGTGGCGTTTTCAGCCTAAAATTTTACGTTCAATGAAATTCGTTGCGATTGGCAAGAAAAGATCTAGTTTTTGTCTGTTTACATGCTGTTGCATGTATGGGTAATTGTTCGAGATTTATGTTTCAATAATTTTAAAATTATTTCAACTTATTTCAAAAAGAGTTTTGTTTCATTTTCTTTCATTTCTTTTTTAGTTACAAAGAATAAGTTTATACAAAGTTAGTTTTTCTTTGAATTTTTTCTTAAGTTTTGCACATAGTTGTATCGACTTGTCTCAATTTGTGGTCACTAACCTGCAATGCTGTTGTTGAGTTGTAGCGCAAGTGTTGTGAGAAATATTGATGTCAAATTCAAAGATGTTTTGAAATTTTTTCATTTGGCTGGCTAATATTGTTTACCAACGCTGCTGAAAAATAAACAGACATGATCTTGGTGGGAGCCGAAACTTCATTCGTGGCTGATTTTAACTTGTGGTAGACGTTTCGAACCATTTTATCTTACTGAACTGCTGTTTTTGAACAAAAGTTGATCGGTAATTTGAAAACCAGTTTATTTATTTTGGATTGTATGTCAGTCAGTATAGTTTTTCATTGATTTGTTCAATAGGTAAAATAAGTCAACTGGCCGGCGGAAAATTGGGAAAAAATCATGTGCGCAAGCCAAGCCACATACATACGAAATTTACTGGTGTTTTTGGTGTTTTTATACTTTCCAATTTAGTTGGGTTGCTTTTAGTTAATTACCTTCCAAATAATTGCATGCAATTTTTTTATGAACGAAAAAGCGTGCGTTTGTCGACAAGTTGTGTTTGTGCATTTGAAAGCTCATTTTGCGGCCTTTTCGCATATATTTGAGAATATGCAGCTTTGCCTCTGTGTAAAAAAATTCGTTGCTATCACAATATTTTTTCGTGCTTCTCGTAATTAGAAAAAAAATCAATGAATGGGGAGGATAAGGTCTTAAAATATTGTTTATCTGATTGCTTGTTTTTGTGAAAAATCTTATTTTCCTTGCTTCAAACTGAGCCTTCATTAATCATAAAAGTGGAAGAAAAAGGTTGATATTCATTCTGAATACTACTTTCAGTTAATTTATTTTTTCTTCTTTGTCTAATTTCTGAAAGTAACAGTTGTTAACGTATTTCAAGTGCTACGGAGCTCTGCTTCGCCTGTGTAAAATTATTGGTTTGCCACTCTCGCTAGATTGGTGCGGAACTATGACGTTGGGTGGATTTTTTTCTTCCAGTTGTGACAACATCGATGAGTCAGGTATCGTTTAAGCTCTTCAGACTCAAATTTGCTGAAGAGCTTGATATTTTCTATTCTCGAAGCAAAAAATGTATAATTTTCTATGGTGAAACATTTCGAATTCCAAAGCAAAATTACTTGATTAATATACTCCAAAAATTTTATAATTTCAAGCTGAATCAGCTGCAGCTTTATTGCCTTCAACTTTTTTTAAGAGCTTTTTTAAATTACTTATGTTTTAAAATTTTGATTTCGTTAGCTATGACAACTGTGGTCAGAACATTCTGTCCTACATTCACAGCAACCGACAACTCTTGTAACTTAAAATGTCTTACAAATACCTGATCTTGTAGCTGGAAGCGTCAAAAAGTTCACTAAACTATGTTCCAGGAGGCCAACAAATACTAATCAACACTTCAGAAGAAGGGCAGAATGGAACAAATAATGACGTCACTCAACTTGTCAACAACAACCAACAGCTGTTACAAATCCCAATGAGTCAAGTCATGTACCAGAACAACTCAAATGGCTCCTCTGAACTCGAAGATTCATCAGCGGGAGTTCAAAACCAGATGCAGCATATGGGGTCAAGTCAGGACGGGGGTCAAGGTCAAATGATGATGCAGACGCAAGGAGGCTCTACAAACTTTTACTGCCAAGAAGGCTCTGATATGTAGAAAGAATAATGCCTTCGGATTGGTCTTGAAGTTAAAGTAGCGGATTTGAATGCTTCTCTGAAAAAAAAACAAGATTTATCCAAAAACTAATAATATGACTCTACTTGGCTTGGAATTCTAGCTATAGGCGAGTTTTTAATTTGCTGTTTAAAATCTTGACCCAGTCAAATCTCACTGTTTGATCACTGTTGGCTGTAATTGTTCTGTAGTTTTTCTAAATTAGTTCGTACATGGGTTAATATATTTTGAAATTCATCTTGCTGATTCAAGTGGCTGGTTTTCAGAATGTAATTTCTTTTTCTATCTCTATTTTTATTTAATGTAGAAAAATTGATAATTGATTTTAGCTGATTTGTTTTTTACTGGTCAGTGTGGGTTGAAATTAAGCTTCAGGAAATTGGCAATGAAAGCTGAACTAAGCAATAAAGCAAACTTTTGCGAGTGATACAGTCTCTCATTTGGTCGAATTGAACGGTGCTGCAATTTGATCATCTTTGAATTGAGCTAATAATTCCTTTGCGCAGATATAATTTAACCTTTTTTTTCTCGAAAGGGAAATCTTGCTCCTACCTACAAAAATGATCTCACAGCATGGTTGACCTGATTTTCCCAAGTGTTTGATAAAAGACGGTTTTTTCTTGCAGCTTGCAATGATTTTATTTGATCCCTGAACTGTTTTTCAGATATGAATAATACCAGAGTTATAAATTTCTCTAAAAGAGGTGCACAAGTTGTATCAACATGTTTGAAAAATGTTCGATTGAGTCATAATTTAAAGAAGCTTATTAAAGAATACTCAAAAGCCGCTTCAACTGAGAATGAGGAGGTTATTCGTCCTGTTTTGAAAGATATTCAGTATAGTTTTTCTGATCCGAGTAAGCTTAAAGTAGTGAATGTTTCCTGGGATCTCAGTCCTGCGCAGATGATTGAGACAATTACACGGTGAGTTCTATAAATTACCTGTTTGTATGTGACTTGAGGTCTTTCGAAAGTTTTTTCACTAATTTAAATGCACGACCGGAAGTTTGATAAACTTTTGGGGATAGCTGAAGTGACATTTGTTTTTCTGAAAAATTAGTAACCGTGGTTCGGCCTCAGTTGTAAGTGGAGTGAGTCTGATGTGTAACCTATAAACCAACCATATACCTTAGTTTGCATAACTATACCTTTTTCTTATAACAAAAGATTTTTTTAACCTGGAATTCAAGAGTCATTGAACATAGTTCAGACACTCATAGTATGAAGCGATGATTTTTTTCTAAGTTTTTATTCGGAAAAGTCTTAGATTTGTTCAGGCTTAATTTTTTTTTCTGAGGTTTGATTTTTGGGTTTATTTCCTTTGTTAAAAGTAAGGCAAACTCCACTATCGAACAGTAAAATTGTAAAGGTCACTTAAAACGTGATCGACTTCTACCTTCGAAAATGGAATTTGCCTTCGAAAATGGAATTTGATCTAGTTTTCTTAAATTTGGTTAATTCTATCAAAAAAGTGTTAGTCGTAAGTTTTTCTAGAAATTCCAAGACCTCTAAAGCCATATTTTTTTCTTGCAAATTCGAAAGTTTTTTTTCGGTTTACTTGAGCTCATTGACTTTTTTCCAACTGTGTGTTGGCTATGTTATTGTATACCATTTGTTGACTATCACAATGCGTTCATTATGCACTGAAGAAGTTATATTCCAAAGGGAATAAAAGACTGATTGTTTCGAAAGAAAATATTGGAAACAGTCTAAAGTAATTTTTTTTTTCAGTGTCAGAAGGTTTGTAAATGATGAAATTTAGAATGCTTGAACGTGGTGTTTTCCTCTAAATTTGAAAGTTGAATAATGTTCAAAAAAGATGGAATTTTTTTGGGGTTCCTTGAGCTTATGTATTTTACTTTTCCACGTTTTATCTTTCTAACACGAACATGGTATTACTGCCACAAGAGAGCTCGTACGGGCCATTTGTGATAATATAATAATTCTCTACTGGTCGTTGTTGGATTTTAAAAATGTTTGAAAAAAGATCGACGAAAACTGCTCTGATTTTTTTTCTTTTTTCAAGACTAAATTAGAATTTTGAACTATGTTCATCGCTTTTTTTTTACATATGTCAATCATTTTTTCAGAAGACAGCCAACAGATAGTTGGAAAATCTTAAGTTTCGAATTTCAAACAAAAAACAAACAGATGACATTAAAGCTCCTTGAATTTCTAGAACAATTTCTGATTGACCTTATTAAGATTAAATTAACCCTATTTGACAAAACTGGATCAAAAAGTAAGTTTTTTTTGCTGGGAAATCTGATAATTAATTTCCATTTTCAAAAATAGAAGTTGATCACGTTTTTCGTGACTTTTACAATTTTGCTGTTGGATAGTGGAGTTTGCCTTCGTTTTAACCAAGAAAATGAATGGAACTTCAAAGAAATCAGAAATGAAACCGCGAAAAATTAAATATGAGCTTGAAAAAATTTGAAGTATTTTCCTGAAAAAAAAATCATCCAGATCTATATGAGAGTCTGAACTACGTTCGTCGACTCTTAATAACAAGAAATTAGACAGCGAAAATTGCAAACATTGTTTCAAAAAGTGATTCTGTATAATGAGTAAGTTTTTGGATAAAGTTTTGATTAAGCTAAAGTTATTAACTTAAAAACTTCACATTGAAAAAAAATCTATTAAAAATATTTAAGTTTTTTAAAACAATTTTGATCAAATTTGAAGTTTTTTTGAAAGCGCGATTAAATGAAAAAAACATGCGTGAAAAGTACAAAAAAAGGACCAGGTTGTCTCAGCACTGAATTTTTTTTTGATTTTTTGAGAATCCCACCCACGATCAATAAGGTTTGAATATACCACAATTGACCCCTCCACGACCTTTCCTTGAGGTAGTCAAAATCAGCTATAAAAATAAAACCAACGCCATAGTTGCTTCGAAGTTTTCTCAGTTCCTTCACACTAAATAGCTGGAAATGAATTATGGCTTCATCAGCCTAATTTTTTCTTTAATATTGTAATTGTTGCGTATGCTTTTAGTTAGCGTATGCTAATCGAAAAAAAATGATCACATAAATTGTCCAATCGAAGTTTTCTGATGTCAATAGTTAACACAAAAAAATTGATAATTTTTCAAAACCTTAGTTCATAACTAACAACAGAAATATGAGTTTGTACCAAAAAGCCTAATGTTCATCATCCAAATTCGATCAATTTGATAAGTTTAAAAGTAACTAATTGCTTCAAGTTCAAATTTTTTTTTCAAAGGGGCCCTCTTTTTATTGAGCGAGGAAGTTGAGAGTAATTTTTTATTGAATTCGAGTAAATCATGAGTAATGTTGCATGCTGAAAAAAGCTTTAAAATATCTTTGTACATGTTTTTATTTTTTATAGTAAAGAAGCAGTACACCCTGTTTCGAGTCTCGCCAGTGCCAAATTCCGGTTCGATCCAGACAACAGAAGAGTGTTCTCACTTGTGCACGAGGATCTACCCAATCTACCTCTTGCTTGTGTGCATGTGGCTCTGACGTCATCCGTTGCTGGATCCCTGCAGCAGATTGAAGAAGTGGATGAAGATAACGTTAAATTTGAACTGAATTCGAATTACGACTTGAACAAAATTCTAAATGATAAATCAGGTAAGCAGAAAAGGAATATTTCTGACAACCAATTAATTTAATTTCTTCGCTCCCTAGGTTTGCCTACTTGTTCATTGTTCAACATTTGTCCAACTAAGTTCAATGGTATTGCGCTAGAGTTCAGTAACTGTTATCAAACCGGAAGACGTTTTTTTTTCAAGCTAAGTTTGTCTAAGAAATCTCTGAATTGTTTGATAGCTTCATTTATATTTAATTCGAGATAGAAATCTGAGGCTACATATTTGGCGCACAGGTAACATCAGTGCTCTAGGCAAACAAAATCCAGGGTTGGAGTCCGGTCAGGATATTCACTTTATGCAAATTCAAAATTTGCTGCGTTTTACGGACTAATCTTGTTATTTGAACGACTTTTTTCTAAGTCATTTTGGTGCAGGAACTTGAGTTCTAGGAATTTTCGGCTGAATTGAAAATATATATTCATTTCGATCTATGATTTTTTTGAAGAATTTAATCAAATTTTTTCTTACCTTTCTGGAACTATTTACACAAGCATAGCTTGTGTTATAGTATGAACTTTCTTTTTTTTCCAACCTAAGTCGCAAATATTGTTGCGACAAAATGTGCTCATTTTGAAAGTGTTCATTTTGATCCAGCTCTTAAGTACAGCCAATGCAATGGATATTAACACAGACTATTATATTACAAATATCATTTTAGCTTCAACGTATCATGGTTCTGTAGCGTAGAGATAGGGAACGAGACCAGCAGCAAAATAAGAGGGTTCGAACATGATCAGGGTCGAATTTTTCAATGAACTTTTTCGTATACTAGTTAAAGTGCTTCCGCTTTATAAATTGAGGCATGTTAGTTGGTAATTTTTTTTCAAATTGACTGGTACTGCTAATGCGTCATAATTGGCTTGCGTCACTTAAGAAATTTTGTTGACTAGCGTTGTCGGTCATATTTTTGCTTGTGTATGCGAAGGGCAACTTTGTCTCTGTGTTGAAATTATAGGTTTAATTGATTACCCGAATAGTTGTTGTTCTGACCATTAAAAATGGGGACGAATTTTGTCTTCGGGTGTGTTTTAGTGTTTTTTTTCCACGCAAAATCAGCTACCACAAATAATCCTCGGACAGGGCTGAGTGATATATCATATTAAATCCCTTTCAGCCGTGATTCGAATGTTCATTGGCTCTTTTCTAATTATCTGTTGGCTCTATGTACTTTTGTTGTCAAAATGGATATCGAAATCGATTTCTCTAGTAGCAAAATAAGTTAACACAGTTGATGCATTTTAATTCATCAAATGAACCAAAAAAATGATTTTTTCAAACAAGATAACAAGAATGAAAACTCGAGTTCAGAAATTTTTTTAACTCAATATATCTCGCAATGTTTTGAAATGCATAATTTATAAAAAATTTGCTCTATGCTTTGCGATTTGTTACATGCAAAGTTAAAGTGGATGCCTTCAGTTTGTTATATTCCAAGTTATTACTTGCATAATTTAGTCTATTTTTATTAGGTGCCACTTTTGCTGAAGAGCTTGGCATCTTATTAGCATATGTAGCTGCTTTATTCGTGACTAGTGTTTGCCGGTTGTTAAGCTTGCATGGCTAAGTGGATAGTGCCTGAGACTCAAAATCTCTTGATTGCAGTAGGTCGCAGATTCGAATCTTACTGGTAGCCGAGTTTTTGCTAATTCGAGGCTTATGTTTACTTTTTCTTAATTCACTTGATAGAGCTTCTTTTTGGTCATGTTCTCGCAAATGTTTTCGAAGCGCAGCTTCGCCTCTGCGTTACATAATGAAAATTATGTTTCACTCTTACAAGATGTTAGCGGTCTGACTTTCGATTTTAGTAGTTTTTTTATTTGAGTCTTTGAACGTAGTGAATATTTTAATTTAGGTCGTGATATTTTTTCCATAAAGTCTTGATTCAAGTTATTGTTTTTTTTTTCAAGTTCAGTTCATTTTCTTTGTTTAACGAAGACAAATTTTTTATCGAGTGTAGAGGTCGCGGAAAATATGACCGACTTCAAGTTTCTAAAGTGGATTTTTTTTCAGGTTTCTCAGAGCAATAAAAGAATGACCTATTTATCCAGTTCACCTGTATTGGGTCAATTTTATGAAAAAGTGTCAAAGATAATTTTTTCTAGAAATTCAAAAAGCGTTTTGCGTTTATTTTTTTTATTGGCTCTTTGCGTTTATTGCATTTTTTCTAATAGTCTGTTGGCTCTCTGTACATTCGTTGTCAAAATAAATATCAAAAGCTATTGTTTTTAGTAGAAAAAGTGCTTGTGCTTGAAAAAAAAAGTTAAGCTCGTGGCATTGAACGTTTCAAAAGTGGCATTTTTACTTGTGTGTGCGAAGTACAGCTTCGCTTCTGTGTTAATAATTAATCCGTGAAAATTGAGTACGACGTTTTCATTGAATGAGCATACAAGCATATCCCCAATCGTCAAGGACTTTCGGAATCATTTTCAGCATGGCCTTTCAAATTCCCCTTTAATGAAACTCTTGTTTTAAACTAGCGAACTTTAGTGAGCGGAGTGTAATAGTACCACTATTCTTTTTTTCTAACCTAAGTAGCAAATGTTGCATAATGCATAATTTATATGTAATTAGGTTTAATGCTTTAGGTCTTATGCTTTCCAAATATAGATAGACACAAATTTTGCATATAATAATTAGGATTTATTATATTCCAAATTGTTATATGCAAAATTTGTGTCTATCTATATTTGGTGCCCTTTTTGCTGCATGGCTATGGCAATTTTTAAGCATATGTAGCTGCTTTGTTCGTGACTAGTGTTTGTTGGCTGTTGAGAGTTCGTGGCCGAGGGGGCAGGGCGTGAGACTCCAAATTTGGAGGTCGCAGATTCGAATCTGTTACCTAGCAAAGTTTTACAAATTCGAGGTTCATTTCTGTTTTAACCTATTTCACTTTATTTAGCCGCTTTTTTCGTCGTTTTAGTGCTATTGTTTGCGAAGTGCAGCTTGCTGTTATGCCAAAAAGCTAAATTAGATTAAATCGAAATTGGATTAACTAATTAGATTAAATCTAACTGAAAAGATTAAATTTGCGTACGCTTACTGTTTTTTTCTAAATAATTAATCTGTCAAAGACAAGCACCATATGTCCATCGCATGGGTCAAAAAAGTTTCGCTCCTTGCCAAGGACTCTCGGAATCATTGCTAGCATTTTCACACAATTTGTTGAGAACTGACGATTATGAAATTGTTTGTGAAATTTTAGCCTGAAGTTTTCATCTGCTTTTTTCTTTGAACTTTCATTCTATATCATGGCGATGATGCAATTATGGGACCAGACTTTTTTCGTTCAAGTTTTTTCCACAGATTGATCAAATTAGTATAGAATGGTGTGATCAATTCAAGTAGCTGAATCGACCAGATAGTAGAAATTATACGAAATTACTTAGCATGACTAGCTTAAGGGTAACGCCTCGAGTTCAATTTTTTGGCATATAATTGACTTAAACGACATAAGTACAAAAGTTCGAATCCAGGTCGGATCTTTCACAAGGTACATAATTTTTTTATTTCGGTTTTTGGTTTTCACGTCATTTCTTTTCGGCCTTTTTTGACCGTGTGTGATTTTTGTCCTAATGCTCATTTTAAGCTGGTTTAAAAGCGTTTCCTTGACGATAAATTTCGATATTAATTTCAGCGTCAGTGTTGACAAAATCAGCTGACGAAGCATCTTGCGCTATTTTCTACACCATTACCAACCTCCAGCCTCAGTGGAATTTAGCCCCAATGGGCAAACAGCTTGTATCCGGTGCCCTAGATGAACTCAAATCTACCCTTCCATCATTGCACACTTTTTCCACGCTGTCTCCTGTTCCTGGTTTTGCACAGTGGCTGAAAGAAGAGTTCAAATCAGTCAACAATTCATCAAGCCAATCATCGTTAGTAGACAGTTCAAAGTTTTCTCTGCAAGAGTTGTTAAGTTTGATGTATTTTTGCTTATTATGAAGTGTTTCTTGCTTTATCATGACCGTCTAAATTGCACTAGAAGTTGAAATTAGTTTGAGTCTAATACTTTTCGGCCAATGATCGATTGTTCAAATTTTGTGACAACCAAATTTTCAAAACCGAGCATTTTCTCTTTTTATTTCAAAGGTAAAAAGGCAAAGGGTTTTGGAGACAAAATTTGACATCCTTTCTATGTAATCATTCACCAAAAACATTTAGTATGAATTGCTTTTTTGCTTGGCAAGTATTTCACCCGTTGGCAGAGACAGCAACAGTCAAAATATTGCAATTATCCCATCATACATTGGCAGTTTGATTTGAACTGCTGGAAAATTAGGGTTAATTTTTTCTGAAAGTCCCAAGCTTACGTTTCTGCTTCTTTGTTCTTTTTTACCTTTCAGTTCCTGAGAAGCTAAAGAAATGTTTTTGAAGTGAACAAAGATTTGTTCTCTAAAAACTATCTTATTTTAATTTTGACGATCTGTCCTGTTCAACGCGCTCAGTAGCTCTCTTCTATCCCTTCCAACTGACTTTGATATTACGTATACGACTCCTTAGATGTTTTAGACCCCTCTTTGACCTCAATTTGGAGGCTGCTGACTTAGAAGACATGGCATTGGTTTTCGATCCTTCTCTTTCATTCTGGAGACACATCACTGTTTTGAAGACATTTCAAACCCAATTCAACCAAATCATCTTGTACTATTTGACCCAAATGAAGAGTAGCAAGGATCCTCTGAGAGCCAAAAATGCTGTCACGCATTTCCACATGAGTTGTGGGGCATCCCTCTACAATGTTTTCTGCCCTTTTGCTACGAGAAGACTGGGCTATACGCCGCTGGTTTCTGAAAGAATGTGGGATTATTCGTTGGGATATATGGCTAATTATAGATACGAACATGAAAAAGTAACAGAAAACTCGAAGAGTTATACGAATACTGGACATGTTAGTGTATTTCTTAAAAACAGTGCATAATATAAATGGGAGTGCCGTCCGTATTTAGACAACCGGGTATTCATACTCGTCAGTATTTAGACAAATACTGTATGAACCAATCAGAATCGAGATAAGACAAATAATCCAAAATAAATCATATTTCTTTATTAATTTCTTCCTTGTCTCGATTCTGATCGGTTAAAACAGTATTTGTCTAAATACTGACGTGTCTGAATACGCGGTTGTCTAAATACTGCTACGTAACCATATAAATAGCTGCGCGAAGACGTGATCCGAATTTTAAAGAAAGTGACGGAACGTTTGTGCTCGGGTGGTTTTTTCTCTAGACAAGTTTGGAGTTTTAGTAGCAACTTTGTATGGTTGCCCTGAGCTTGAATTTAAAAAGATGTTTCATCCGTCATTATTAGTAGTGAAGTAATTTAAAAGATAGCGAGTTTAAAGATTGCCAATTTGGGGACAATTATATGAAATGGAACTTACAACCAAAGGTTCAATCTAATTGCATCGACGTGGCTATCCATGAATACATCTTATATAATCAATCTTATTTAAACCAAATCTAATCATTTTTGAGAAATCCAGGTCAAAATGAGAGTTTTAAAAAGAAATAATTTTTCGAAACTGAGAGTTAAGCTTCGACTTTTGTAATTAGACTTTAACGTGAGCTTCAGTTCAAAAGTTTGCAAAACGCATTACCATAGAAATCTTACGAGTAAAGAAAAGCCGGGCGATTTATATCAAGATTTTCGTTAGGTTTAACGAAAGGAAGAATCTTATTTAGGTAGGCTCTTTGTGGATTTTGCACACGCTCAAGTTTGTTGTTTTGATGTTCGATTTCTGATCTCTTTTGGAGTTCAATTAAAATCCATTTGTTCAAATTTTTATGTTTTTGTTCCCTTCTTCAATTACAGAATTGCAACTGACGCCACAACAAGTGTTTGACTTTTGGTTTCAATAAAGATGTAAGCATTTCAGTGGAAAAACATTCCATATTACACCAGCTTCAATTCAAGTTTTGAATCGAAGTTTATTACAAGTTGGGTTAGTTTTATCAAAAAAAACTTCATTCGTTCAAAATTCTTGAAATTAATAGAGCTTCAGGATAGCATCTGTTTTTGAGCTGAAACTTTGGAAGTTGAATTTTGACAAATCATGATCTGTTAAACTAATCCCAATATATGAACTGTACATTTAAGAATTAAGTAATCGCGTAGAATAAAATGATCGCAATTAACTTCGCATAAACGAGAGGTTCCCATATCTATTGTCTTTATGGATACCAAGATTGTGTCTAACACTGACCTTTTTACTAAGTTAATGAAGGACGGAAGTAAAAGAACGTAGAAAAAGAACAACTCGCACGAGATCTAAATGACGACTCTATTTCACTAGTGGACAAAAGTAAGCGCAAATTCAGGATTTTACTCTGTGAAATGCCTTTTTTCAATGTACATTTGGACAACATTTCTTTTGAACTTCAATAAAACTTTTACATTGGCCGAGATGAAATGATCAGAGCTACCATTTATGAAAGCATCAACATTTGGTTCAATGACTTACCTATGTAATTCGGGTCTGAAAATGCCAGTTTTCCTCATCTGCACTAAGTTTTACATCGTAGTGAAATCTTTAAAGAAAAAGCAGAGTTAAAAATTTGTTCATGCATCGTGAAACATTCTCAGCGAGAAAGTGGAAAATCAGTGAAATTTTTACTAAACTCAGACGTTTGTTACTAATTCACGCGAAGTAAAAACTTAGCGCAGATGAGGAAAACTGGCATTTTCAGACCCGGATTACATACGTAAGTCATTGAAACCAAATATTGATACTTTCATAAATGGTAGCTCTGATCATTTGATCTCGGTCAATGTAAAAGTTTTACTGAATTTCGAAGGAAATGTTGTCCAAAATGTACATTGAAGACGGGCATTTTACCGAAATAAATCTTGAATTTGCGCTTAATTTTGTCCACTAGTGTATACTAAGGAATAGAATTACCATATGAAAAGATCGAACATTTTGTGACTTAACTACTTGTACAAGAAGAGCTGATGTATGTTTTCCAGAAGTCACATGATGCACTAACTCTAACTTCTGCACGATTGAGAATATTTCAAAATAAGCGGTACACGAATTCCATGTCTTTAAAAAACGGAAAAGCAAAACACCAAAAGTCGCCATTGTTGAAATTTTGAAGGGATTGAAAACAAACTCACTTGTTTTAAAATTTTTCTCGAACTCGAATTCATTTTCTAATAATCAAGACCTATTTTCAGCACCATATCAAGAAATCTTAACCAAATATGACAATTGATTGAATATTATCTAAAAAGTGTACGAAAGATGTCACACCTATCCAAACCTTGAAACTGAACAATTTTCATGCAGATTTTAAAGGTGACCGAATAGTTTAAACAACGCATTTTGGAAATAATTTGACAGCTGGAGAGATATGAAACCCGTTAGTACAATCAGCCGAATCTTAAGCGAAATATTGATCTCAGCACTCGATAAATTACACAGATTTTGTTATAAGACAATTTTCCAACGCACATTTTGAAATCACTTGCACTTGCCGTTCTGAAGATGCATGATTTCGCGAAATGAACCAGATTTTGTTAAGACGGTAAAACATGTTTAACTACTTGCCAAACTGTTTTACATATTGGTACATATCATATGCTACACTACTTGTATTGACTGACAAAATATTTTCCCGGGTTGACGAAAAAGGCTCATCGTACAGTTTCGTTTTTCAGTTCTTTAGACAAGCATTTTTCCATTAATGAAATTTTACGATAACCATTTTTCCATCAATGAAATTGTACGACAAGCATTTTTTCCATCAATGGAATTGTACCATAAGCTTTTTTCATTAATAAAATTGTATGACTCGAATTTTTTTCATCAACGTAATTGTATGACTAGCTTTTTTCCATCAATGGATTTGCATGATTAGCAAGAGGTTGAAACCTTTTCAACTGCGTTTTTCACAGATTCTCCGGAAGTTCGAGACAGCTGAAAATTCCTATCTTAATCCTAATGACACAGTACCAGGGCGTAGCCGCATAGAAAAAAAACATACAAAGCTGTCGGGACGAAGGTCCAAATCCAAGTAGCAAATGAGACCAGTGTCCAAATCCAAATTGTATTCAGCCCCTGCATTCAGAGATTCTATAAAAACACTAATTCACAAATGCGAGAAAATATAACATGGGACATCGTTAATAATTTAAACAAAACCAACCCGTAAAGCGTGCTATCAATAAACATGATTTCCAAATTGCTTTTTTAACTTCTACTTGAATTGTCACGGGATAAAAACTATGATGTGAGTGAATTTTCTTCAAATTTTGTAACCAAATCAAATTTTTGGGTTTTTACCATCATGGCCTTCCCGCCTTGTAACAAATGTGAATTTTTTGGTGGTCTATGATTAACTGGAGGACTTTAAAGGGAATTTTGGCGTTGTTACAGAATCTTAAGACGTATTCGCATCGGTTGAGAACTAAAACTTTCACCGTATTTTTCCCGTGAGAATACAAGCAGTAATAAAAAAAAAACAAATTGGAAATCTTGTTTGGAGATAGCACACTTTACGTTTTAGTATCAATTTTATAGTACTTAAAAGCATCCTTTTTTAGTGTAACAAGGAGTATTACAAGGTTAAGCATGTTGATCAATTTTGGTTGTCATAGCTTAATTAGTCGACATGCCAATTTTTGTAACAGTCGGACGCGGAGAACAGAAACATTGCTGGTTAAAATTGCCGATTGCGGGGGCTTGGGGAAAGAGCCTAATATAATTAACTCATTTTTAGAAAACTGAATCAAGTTAAATTTTTCAGGACCTTTTGAACTGTTGCAGTTCGATAGAGAAGTTAGCCTTCCTTTCATCAAAGAAAAGGCAGTGGACTTAACAAAAAATCAAATTTCAAAGACTTTCTTTTGATCAAATTTTCTGCACCGCTGGCAAAATTAACAAAAACACGTGCTAAAAACTCTTCTGATATTCTGTCTATAACAGAAAGCTATCGCACAATTATAAAAATCAAGAGATCCGGTTAACATAAAAAATTAAGAAAATACGGATCAAAAATGGACGTTTCAGGCACCTTTTTGAATGTTTAAACCAAAAAATTAGGTTTGCTGGGCAAGGTGAGGTTTTATTTTCCTCTCTTACCAAAACGCTGGGTCAAAAAATAAAAAACTGAATTTAATTTACTTTATCCACAGAGGCGAGCAGGGTTTTGCATCAATTGCGATACATCGTTTTTTTAATGCAATCGAAAGTGAAATTAGCATCGGAAGAAACTTGAACAAGCGGTAACAAAACCAAAAATTAGCAGAAGCCCTTTAATCGGAAAAAAAGTCAACGAGAGTTAAGACTCACAAAAATTTAACAAATCCCCCTCACCCTCAACACAACAATAAAATTTTTTTTATTGCTCGTCAAATGAAACAAAAAGACACCACTAAGCCGATATAATGAAGGCCGAAACCGATAAAGACGAATAAAGGAACATAAAAAAGATGAAAATCAATTCGAAAAATTTTTGAAGACTAATAAAAAATGAAGTCCCCGCAACCTCATAACAAACAGGCTGACACAATTTTTTTTTGCGGGTTGACAGACGCACATGAGGACAACAAACCGATATAAAATATGCCGAAATCACTTAAGCCGAAAGAAGAAAAAAGAAAAACCACCAAGTTCAAAATTTTCAGATACTAATTAGAATTTATTCAGACCCCCTCACCCTCGAAACACAGACACTCTAACTTAACTTTTTCTTGTCCATATAAACCGATACAATATAAGCCAAGCCGAAAAAAATGCCGAAAAATATTGTCGCCATGAAAAATTTAAACTATATTTCAAAGTTTTTACAAAGTGTGCGATCCTGAGTTAGCATAAATTCTATGTTTCACTTACAACGTCTCAAAGTAATCTGACTAATCCGATCAAAAAAGCCTAAATCATTCAAAATGACAAAAAAAGCTTAAGCAAAGGAGATAAACGGAATTTAAAAAGAAATCAAAAGTCAAGCCGCTGAAAATCAA